GAAAATATCCACATGCAGGAAGGTTCTTTGTGTCTCAGGAACAAAAGCAACTACTGTACAGTAGTGGGTAGTCAGTGGTGATGACCAGGGAAAAGCTTGTGGGCCAGACTCCATGAGAACTCCAGACTAGCCAGGAGACCTTCATTTCAGGATAGGATCCTGGGCCCTGGGTCTAAACAGTGCAGTGGTGACTAGTAAATGCCACATTTCTAAAGAAGGTTTGGTTAGCATAAGGAGGGATAAAGGGCAAGGTGCGTGTTAGGAAGATCCTCGTATGCTCTTAGCTTGCTCAATAATTACTGTGTGCTTTTGGATAATTGGCTTCTCTCTGAGGCTCAGGATTTTGTCTGCTGTGGAACATGATTAACCCTGAGGATCTTCACCATGTGGATATGGTATGCTTTTCCCATAGGGAGCCAGAAGCCAAAGAAGAGACAAAATTGAAGCACTCTGGGCACTAGTGAGGAGTACACACTATGAACCAGGACAGGGGAGGGTGAGAAAGGGAGGCATACAGAGTGGTTGGGGAGGAGAGGTCGTAGGACCCTTCCCCTGGGCAGCAGTAACAGAAGAGGGAAGGGAAGCTGGTCTAAGAACAACCGAACTAAGAACACAGAGTGCTGGAGGACTGACATGCTAGAAGAAAGGCCAGGAAGGGAGTTAATGGGACTCATGATCCCAAGTGACAAAATTAGAGGATGTGGATTAGCCCTGGGAGGAGGGACACAGTGACCAAACTTCTGTCCATGCGCATGTGTGTGGTGGGTCAGGGCACCTGAGAAGCAGAACAGTGACAGAGAAGGGAAGTGGGGAGCAGAAGGAGGGAAATTTCCCCTTTGGGTACCTGCTTTGTGCTGAGCTCTAGGAAAGGGGAGAAGAAAAGGCAATCTTGGCCAAGGGAGCTCTGGGCCAGGCAAGGCACCCATCCCCCAGGCAGCCGGCAAGGTCAGGGTCGGAGTGTCTGAGCACAAATCGTGACAAAGCTGGAAGGAGTCCAACAGTCAAATAGAGTACCCCAACTCCCCATCAGCAATTTAGACCATTTCTACCACAGAAGGAGAGCCGTTTGTATCTTTTAGAGCTGCAGTTCTCAACATTCCTAAATGCCGAGACCCTTTAATACAGTTCTTCATGCTGTGGTGACCCCACCCCAACCACAACATTATTTTTGTTCCCACTTCATAACTGTAATTTTGCTACTGTTATGAATTGTAATGTAAATATTTTTGGAGATAGAAATCTGCCAAACGGGTCACAACCCACAGGTTGAGAACCACTGTTTCAGAGCCATTGATACAAGGATGGTGACTTTTATGTCTTTGGAAAGTCTTTAGTTGGTTGGTTGTTTATATTTTGATATTATTCTATCTTTACTATTTTTTAAGAATTACCTTTATTTTGTGAACTATGATATTTATAAAAGATCTTTGCTTTTAATTGACAACATAAAATGTCATTATTCATTGCACTGAAAATTATATTCGGTGAAACTCACAAATCTGTATACGTTAGTGTGGGACATGTCTTGCCAGGACTAAATATGGAAAAGGTGAATAAGATAAAGGAAGTGGCTTGCTTGAAGTCATATTTTATTTAAATATTAGAGAAGCCTTGCGCTCTCTAGATACCTGACAATGCCAAAGCAAGCTAAAACAAACAAACAAACAAATTAGGACTTGGGTTGATGTCACAATCTCAGCCGGAAAGTCTCCTCCTCCTGCCCTCCCCACCTGGATGCCAGACCTTTCCCAGGTGGCAGGAGCAGGCCTGTTATGACACCCACAGCTGACTCTTCCCTGTCCCAGACTCTAGGATACAAAGTACAGCTATGGCCTGCCTGCCTTCTTTCCTGGGAGACATGCTGTGGCCTGCCCCATGACCTCACCGGGATGGAACCAGGTCTCCCAGCCTTATCCACTCCTCAGATCAGAGGGGATTAACCCCTCCACACATCTGTCCTCTTCCTGACTCTTAGGAAGTCTCTCTTCTCAGGAAATGAGCAATTTGCCTACAAGAGTACACAGTTGGATGCCTGACTTTTCCATGTGCAGACCCTGTGGCTTTATCTTTATAATAGAGGTAGACTGGAATATTTTGATAACCAGAAACTAAAGTTTAATTATACTCTGTGGTTCTGAGACATGGAATAAAGTCCCTGAAAGGTTGAGTCCTCAGGATGTGCTTGAGGCCCCTGTTCCCACTGAAGAACTCCATTCACTCCAGTGATTCTAGTACTGCTTTGTATTGACCTGGACTTTTCCCTGTATTTTGGATCTGTGATATGTCCAGACATCATGGTACATCTTGAGCACAATGTGATGTTTTCAATCTGTATATGCATACTTTGAACCCCATAATTTAGAATTATCATTTGTTTATTAAAATTTAATATGTTGTTTAAAAAGCTTCTCTGTCTGTAAATCTACAGCCATCTTGGTTTCAATATGTTCAAAACTTAAATTTCTGTTCCTCCTCTTTTTTTTCCACCCTCTGTTTACAGGAATAAAATCTTTACCTACTGCTTAACTACCTACTCATCAGTCCCAGACAGACCCTAGGCATCACCTCTGACTACTTCTACTTGTCAAGATCTATTGCTCTGTCACCTAGAGAGATAAGGTATACCTGCTGTGAGATCTAGTCTCAACATATGGAGAGATGCTATTTCAAATCTCTTTCACTCTGTCCTCTCTACTACATATAATCTCTCTCTCTTCCCATCTCCCTCTGTAAAGACATGTTATAGATTTATGATTGGGCTTATAATTATTTTTTACACCACAACAGTATAAAAATGATACATATTCAGTAAAACTCTTATGTTTTGAGTCTACATACAAGCATTCTGCTTTTCACTTTCTATATAATATTCAGTAACTTATGAGAAGTATTCAGTACCAAATTATAAAATGAATTTTGTGTTGTATGATTCTTCCCAACTGTAGACTAATATAACTATTCTGAGTAATTTTAATATAGACTAGGTAAGCTATAAGTGTGTGGCTTAGTTGCATCAAAATCATCATTTTTATTTATCACGTTTTCAGCTTGTGATTGGTTTGTCTACATGAAACTATACTCTAAGTAGGGAGCAATTGGTAGAAAGGAAGAGTAAACACATTTAAGAAGAATATAACTGGGTATAAGCTATCTAGGAATATTTGTACTATTAAAATTGTCCATGAAACTGAAATTAGATCAAAATAAGCACTTATAAATAAAAATGGACCAATGTTACTCTTCTCCATAGGATCTCCAGAAGGACTCCCATTCCCGTCACCTACAGGACAAAGTTGGAATTCCAACATGAAGGAGCCCTACCTGCTTCTCTAGTCATCCCACATGCTCTGGTTCATGTGTTATGTCCCATACAAAAGGAGCTGAAACAGTTCCTGGTGGACAGCTTGATGCTTTCTTTTCTTCATTTTTTCCATTGAGGGGTTTTGACTCATACAGTCTTTGCACAGGGAATCTGTGAGAAGCCAGTTCCCATCACTGGTCCCCAGAGAAGTCTGAAGAATGGTTTAACCAGAGTGGTGGGTGGAGCTATTCTTTATATGTTTTTTCTGCTTGGCTGCTGTGGTTGGTTTCCCATCTGTTATGGCTGGTCTCTTTCCTTACAAAGCAGACACAGCATTTCTAAGGGATAGCCCATTGTTCTAAATGGATACAGACAGGGGCAGAAAACCCAAAGAATGCATTTGATGAAATCAAAGTTTCCAAGAGTGGCCATTGGGCCTTTGGCATAAGCTCCTGCCACTGAAGGCACAGACCATGTGTCATCAAGTCAAAACAACTGTCACACTGTGTTGTTTCACTCCCATGTCTCTCTTAAGGGCCATCTATCAGCTATAGAAAGGTAAAATACCCTATTACATTAAAGAAGACCAAAGCTGGAGAGTGAAGGCATCTGTATGTTCAAGCTTAGTGTGTGCATAGGGTGAGAAATGTGAGTAACAGGCAGATGGGGAACACAGGTCCTCTTCTAGATCTACCCTTCACCCCAGCTTTAGATTTGCCAGTCATTTATCTCATGACATATTTATAAGACACTATTCAACATTATTTGAAAAATATTCCAAAGCAGTATTCTACAGAGTTCAAATGGGTATGAAGAAATGCATCTGCTGGTCTGGAAAGAGTCATATCTAGAAGTAAGCTCAGATCTCTAAGATCTATAGGTATCTAGGATGTTCTACAGAATAGCTGCTGCATATTTCCTGATATGAAGGAGAGTTTTGAGCTGGAAGTCTCTATTTCCTAAAGAGCTCCAGGAGAATTATGAATTCCTTTGATGGATTCAGCTCTAGTAAAGAGTAAAGAAATTATATCATATGTAAAGAGCAGATAGAAATCATCTCCTCACTTGGTTTTCTATTCTGTTTGGGATCAGTGAAGAGGCAATAAAAAAAACAAAACAAAACAACAACAACAACAAAAAACTACAGTAAACTTTTACAGTAAAGAAAATAGACAAGGTGGATCTCCATCTTAAAGGTCGAGCCTGGAATAAAGGGAAGGGAAACGAGACTGCACTGGACATCAAGGGTCAAGCTCTCGGCAGAATCTCTACCCAGGTCTAAAAGGGATGGGAAGGCTTCTAGGGGAGTAATTTTTGTCTGTCTTTCTTTCCTTCCATCTGTGTCTATTTCTAGGTAGAACTGAATTTGAATCAACCCTCCTGCCTCCATATCCCAAGCCATGAACTTCCAAGATCAAGCCACTGTACCTATACCTGACAAGAAATATGATTACAAAACTTTACTACTAGTATTAGTGAAAACATCCCTCTGTAGGTTTTTCTTTTTATTTATTTTATTTTATTTTATTTTTTATCTATGAGTGCTTGCCTATATGTGTGTCTATATACCACATATGTGCCTGGTACCTGCAGAGGCCAGAAGAAGGTGTAAGATCCCCTAGAACTAGAACTATAGATTGTTGAGAGACTATAAATGGGTGCTAGGAATTGGACGTGGATCCTCTGTAAGAGCAGAAAGTGTTCTTAATCACTGAGCCGTCTCTCTAGGCCCTCCCTTGCTATTAGATTTTAAGGAAGAATATAACCACTTAAAGGACATCAGATACTTGGAGGCCATTCTCCCCTATTCCTCAGACTTTATAGCTAGTGAGAAATTTAGAAAAAAAGGGAGTTAAAACAAATGAAACACAGTAAAATAAAAAAGCGACAGAGTGCTTCCAAAGGGTGACTAAATTGTCTAAGTGAGTATCATCCATGAAAAGTTAATACTGTCATTCCCAAAAAAGGCTGTTTGCCATTGTTCTTACAATAAAAAATGTTTTCCAGGACCATAAACATGCCCTTTATGCCCCACAAGGGACATCCTTCTTGACCTCACTAAGTAGGGGATGCTTGCCCAGCTTCAGCTCATACCCTGGTGGACCACACTGAGGAAATAATGCTTTCATCCATGGTCTTTTAGCAAGTATTTTCACAAAGACTCTTGAGGCTGTTGTGCAGGCTTCAGCATTATAATGTAAATGAAATATGGAGCATAGCAAAGTTGTTCTGATGAATGAACAGAATGAAATATATAGCTGCTTATGATAACATCTTTTTAATGTGAAAATGTAAGTTCACTTTTTGGTTCTTAAGAAACTAAAGAGAAATTACATAAATACACAATTTGAAGTATAATTCCAGTTCAGGTGATAGAAATCCAGACTTGGTTTTCTATAGGCATGAACCAAGCAATCCCACAAAGTGAACACAGCAATTCAACGAAAAACAACAGAAAGAAGATAAAGTCTGTGTCTCAGGAGCTTTAAGTCTCATTGTACTTGGCTCCTGGTCTTTGATAAATTCCTTTTATTTTCAGTAGTGAGGCTGTGGCTAAATAGAAGGAAGCAGTGGTGACTTCCTTCCTGCCTCCACCTCCGTTTCCATACACACCCTCAACAAGGACAATACTGGCATGTGGGTGTGTGAAACTCAGACAAGCAGGTATCATGTTTGCTTCCAGGTAGGGAGATCAGACATTGTGTCTGGAATTCTGAGTCATGTCAAGCTTCCGTGAGGGTGGATCTCTCTATGTCCTGTATAACATGCTCTCATTTGCACACACACACACACACACACATACACACACACACACACAGACGTGTCCCACTATTATATAAGGGGCTTCTCTGTGCAGTGTTCTTTGGTAGATACTAAATGAAAGCATACACTTAATGCAACTTAGGCATTGTTGAACACCTATCATTATCTAAGCGCAGGGTTGGGTATCACTGAAAATGGAAGCAAGGTAAAATTTCTTATTCAAGTGTTTTACTCATGGTGTCTACATGAAGAATATGAAAGCAAATAAAGAAGCTCAACATTTATGTGAATACCAAAATTTATGTGAATATCTTTTTGAAGCTTTATTTTCATTATTTAATTTATGTGTATGTGTGTGCATCTGTGTGAGTGAATGTCATGGATTTTGGAAGAGGGAGTCAGATCTGCTGCAGCAGTTACCAGTGGGTGTTAGGAGCAGAGGTCTGTTTCTTTGGAATCAGGTTCTCTGGAAGAGCAGCAGGTACTCTTAATGAGTTATTCCTCGAGCCTCTGACTCTTGCATTTCCAGTGAGAATCTGGTTATGGAGAGAGGAATACATCTGTCTGAGGGGAATAACTTAAAAGAACTACTTATGTGAAAAGAACTGTGATAAGATGGGTTAGATGTCCTGGAGTGGCCAAGAATGCACCTACAGATTATTCCACCTTCTGAAACTACCACTGCAGGCTAAGAAGCAGTGAAATTGGGGGTAGGGATGACCTAGGTCATCATGAGGTCAATAAGAAGCCTCTCCTTACAATAGAAGGCATGGGAGATGTAGTTTGACTGTAGTTCAGGTGGGAAGGAAGCAAGCTGAAAAAACTTAGATCATGGATGGGCTGTTACTGGAGTCCCTGGGGATGGAACATGGGAGAGCAGCAATGACAGAGGATAGAAGTACTCCTTTCCTAAGGAGGTCAAAGCTACCTTAGGAAATAGATTTCTGTGTTTGGAAATGAGGCTTAGGCCCATAGGAAGAGGACAGTGCTTGAATGAGGTGAGCCATCTTCATTGTATATTAGTTTCCAATATTGTGCTTCTTATAGACTAGAGAAAAAAACATACATTTAAATAGAAACTTTAAATATCAACTTCATCACAAATATTTTGTCATCTAAAAGAAATATGTCTAATGATAGACACTTTCTTCATTACCATATTCCTTCCTAGTTCTATTAGAATCCTAGAATGTTATCATTTCTTAAGGCACACATGTATAGAATTTATTATCCTAAATATTATCAATCCCTTGAGGACATAAACACAGGTGTCATTCCCAAGATAGGCAGAGAGCTGACCCCATTGAATACGATCCCAGTACTTGTTCCAAGAAATGAAGTCATGCATAATAAGGGAAAACATTATAGAAGTGTTTGCTTTGAGGAAGAGGAATAGAGTTTTAAATATCAAAGCAACCCATCAATTGTCTAGGGCTATCTACCAGTAAGCTGTGATATGGGATATAGCACAATAAATACTTGCTGAATGAATACTGTCAATAGAAGGCTGTGGGAGGCTTCCTGAGAGAGATGGTTATGGGAGCAACAGCTTATT